CCCCCCCCCCGCATTATTTTTAACATTTGCTAAGTATAAGGCATAGTGGTATCCAAGGTGGTGTGCTTGGTGAGCTGCCCTGGGCATGCACCAAAACAAGGCAGGAAAATAATGAATTGCAGATGTGGAGGAGGCTGTTTTCAGTCATTAACTTGATTTCTTAACCAACAGACTTAGCAAAGCTTGCATTCTCCCTTGAAGACTACAAAACTCTAATGCCTTTAAATCCAAGTGGTTTCAGTTATTGGAGTTAAAAAAAAAAAAAATGGCATCTGGAAATATTGCTCAACTAAAGGAAACATCTTTCCTCACTTGGCGAACTCGGATGGCTGATTTCTCTTTTTCTTTGAACCAAAAAAAAAAAAAAAATTCTGGATGAGACTTTGTATAAGAAATTTTAGCTCTAAGGTTACTTTTTTCAGAAAGAAATAAACTACTGAAAGTAGTGCCATGCATTTAGATTAAGAGGGACTTCTTCAGCATTACTTACAGTTCTGAGTCAGTGATGCCTCACTAAAGGAGACTTGTCATGGATTCGTGAGTGAGCAATAATGTCAGATGTGTGTGATTGTTTTGCTGCTTCCTCAAAGTGTTTAAAGGAAGGAAGTTATGCATATAATTTAACTGGACCTCAGGAAATAGTTTGATACTGTTTTGCACAGAGGACAAGCCTTGCAGCTTTAATTACAGAGTGCCTGGGAAGATTCTAGCGAGGATAATAATAATACCTGAAAAGAAAAGCAAGTGCTTGTGGTGGTTGAGGAAGGTGTTTAACAGAGCGCTACATGTCTGCCACACTGGTCTGGCAGAAAAGAGGAGATGTGGAAGGCTAATGAAGTGTTTTTCAGACCTGCATGGCATTCTCCGGAAGATAAGCAAGGTGCTGAAGAGAACAGCACAGCTGGATGGCTAGGCTGATGTTCGAATGAAAGTCTGTTAGCATGCTCACAGAAACCTGGTGGGATCCTACCCACGACTGGACGGTGGGCATTCAGGGATACACACTATATAGAAGGTACAGGACTGGGAGGAACGGTGTGGGGGGGGGTTGCCCTCTATGTCAAAGAGCAACTCACGTCATCAAGAATTAGCTTTGGGGCAGAGGGAGGTCAGGCAGAGGCACTGTGGGTCAAACTTCAAGGGGGGCAAGGCAAAAGGGATCTTACGGTGGGTGTCTACTATAGACTACCCTGCCAAGGGGTTGAGTTGGACCAGAATTTCTCAGTACAGCTTATGGAGACGGGTCTAGGGACGTCATTGTCATGGGGGACCTAAACTACCCAGACATCTGCTGGAAGGAGTGGTCAGCCAGGTCTGACCATTTGTATAGGTTCCTAGCTGAAACACAGGACCTCCACCTTATCCAGGAGGTGCAGAGCCCCACTAGGGGAGATGCCTTGCTGGACTTGGTCTTGGCCATTGGGGATGACCTGGTGAGGGGACTGCAGGTCCTTGACCACCTGGGTGACAGTGATCATCGCCTGCTGGAATTCACCATCCAGTGCAGGGTGTTGAGGGCTTGTACCCTGACTTCAGAAGGGCCAACTTCAACGGACTTAGGAGGTTAGTGGGGGAGGCACCGAGGGCCCAAAAAGTAGAGGATATTGGAGTCCATGAGGGATGGTCGTACCATAAGGGGACGATCCTCCAGGCTCAGAGTGTGACAGTCCCCGAGAGAAAGAAGGGGGGCAAGAGTGCTCTGAAACCCCCATGGCTCAGCAAAGGCATTCGAGAGTGCCTGAGGGCCAAAAGGGAGGCGTACCCAGTGGAAGAGAGGGACTGTCACCAAGGAAGAATACTCCTCCTTGGCCCATGAGTGTAGGAGGGCTATTAGGAAGGCCAAGGCGGGATGGAGCTCAGGCTAGTGACCAGGATTAAGGACAACAAAAAGTCCTTCAAATACATTGGGAGTAAGAAGAGGGCACCGTGTAATGTAGGGCCCCTGCTAGACTCAAATGGTAATCTTGTGGCTGTGCCAGATGAGAGAGCCAAACTTTTTAACAAGTTCTTTGCCTCTTTTCTTGGACAGGGACCAGGACAGCTCTCCCACCACAGGTAGGGGCAATCTTGGGGATAGCACTGCCAGGCCTCAGGTCTGCACAGATGTAGTTAGGGATCTTCTGGAAGGGCTGGATGTTTTCAAGTCTGCGGGCCCTGATGCCCTCCACCCACAGGTGTTGAGAGAGCTGGCGGGGGTCATTGCTGTGCCCTAGGCCCAGCTTTATGAGCGATCATGGTCCATGGGCCAGGTGCCCAGAGACTGGAAACTAGCTAATGTGGTCCCCATTTATAAGAAAGGAGGACCCAGGAAACTATAGGCCCATAAGCCTCACATCGGTCTTGGGGAAAATCCTTGAAAAAATTATCAAGGGTCACATCTGTGAGGGGCCAGCAGGGGAGATCATGTCCAGGGGAAATCAGCATGGGTTCATCAGAGGCAGGTCCTGCCAGACCAACCTGATGGCCTTTTATGACCAGGTAACTAAATCTCTGGATGATGGTGTTGCGGTGGAGGTCGTTTTTCTGGACTTTAAGAAGGCCTTTGACGCTATCTCTCACCCCGTTCTCATTAATAAATTGAGCGACTGTGGCATTGATGCCTGCACAGTTGGATGGGTCAAAAATTGGCTGATGGGGGCACCCAGAGTGGCGGTGGATGGGTCGTACTTGACCTGGCGGGATGTGAATAGTGGGGTCCCCCAGGGCTCGGTCCTGGGGCCTACACTGTTTAACATCTTCATCAGTGACTTGGATGAGGGGGTGGAAAGCACGTTGTCCAAGTTTGCTGATGACACCAAGATGTGGGGAGAGGTAGGCACGCTTGAAGGGAGAGAGAGGCTGCAATTAGACTTAGACTACAAAAGTGGGTGGATGGTAACAGGATGGGCTTCAACGTTGATAAATGCAGGGTGCTGCACCTGGGGGGAAGGAATCCACAGCATACATCCAAGCTGGGGAGCTCCCCCCTTGTGAGCACAGAGGTGCAAAGGGATCTTGGAGTCATTACTGACTCCAAGATGAACATGAGCCGCCAATGCCAGACCACAGCCAGCAAAGCCAACCGCACCTTGTCGTGCATCCAAAGATGCATCTCAAGCCAGTTCAGAGAGGTGATACTTCCCCGCTACGCGACATTGGTCAGGCCACAGTTGGAGTACTGCATCCAGTTCTGAGCAATGCACTTTAAGAAGGATGTGGCCAGCCTCGAGAGGGTTCAGGGTTCAGAGGAGAGCCACCCGCTTGGTTGGAGGGCAACACGGCAGGCCCTATGAGAAGAGGCTGAGGGACCTGAACCTGTTCAGCCTCAGCAAGCGGAGGTTGAGGCAAGATTTGGTGGCTGCCTACAAACTCGTTAGGGGAGATCAGCAGCAAATAGGAAGGGCCATATTCCCCCCAGCAGCACCTGGGCTGATGAGGAATAATGGCCAGAAGCTGCTGAAGAACAGGTTCAGGTTAGAGATTAGGAGGCACTATTTCACTGTAAGGATGGGTAGGATTTGGAACCAACTTCCTAGGGAAGTGGTCCTCGCTCCTACCTTGGGTAAATTCAAAAAGAGGTTGGACAAACACCTGTCTGGGGTCATGTGATCCCAGCGTGTGCTCCTACCAGTGGCGGGGGGTCAGACTAGATGATCTGTTCAGGTCCCTTCTGACCCCAAACGACTATGAAACTATGCTCAGGGAAGGAGGCTGCTGTTAGCTGTTTTTATGCTATTCATGCTTTATTTATTGCATATCTTTTATGGCCTGCAGTAAATAGGGAAGTGGTTATTTCTTTGTGGCCTTTTTAAGGATCTCACCATTCTAGTTTCTGAGCGTCTTGCAAATATTGATAAATGTATCTTATCTGCAAGAGGAGAGCATTGCTTTCCCAGCTCTGAAATGGGAGCGAGAAGACTGCCTGAGGCCATGAAGTAGATCAGTGGCAGAGCAGAAATAGTGCTTGTGATCTCCTGACTCCTAACCCATGCTCATTCCTCAACATCACACGGCTTTGCTGGCAGGAGGAGAGAACTGAGAACCCACAACTTGTAATACCTACATTTGTAGTTCAGAGTGCTCACTTCTTATGTATATCACCCTCCAAATATCTAAAGTTGAAGCCCCAGAAAACGAGGGGCATGTGATTAGTGTTCACTTGCCAACATTTTTATTTAAGTGATTTGTGCACCATCGTATGGGAGCTCTGTGGCAGAATATGGGATAAACTCAACTTTAGTTCTCCTGTGCATCATTTATTTCTTACCAGCAAGAATATCTTATTTCTTTCGGCATCTTCTAATTTATGGAACAAATGAGGTTGAGGTCCTCAGCCTCATTCAGAATCCAAGAGCCTGATTCATTCCTTGAGCACCATGCATTCAGTGAATTGAATGAGGTAGAGGTCCTGCAGAAAAAATAGTGTAATCATGTCCTTAAAAATATAGCTAGAGAAAGGATAAGGGTGTACTTGCTGTCTGCCAAGAATTGGAGTGTGCACTCTTACTGGGTTTAACATACCCTTTTGTATATTTGGGTACAATGATTACAAACTAAAACCCTGTAGCAAAGTTTTGTTTTTGATTATTCTCTTTTTAAAAGTTTCTCTGTCACTGAAGAGACTATAGAGTTGCAGAATGTAACAGAGAGAAAGTAAATGGTAAAGAGAAATCACAGAAGCTATACACTTGCTTCCAAGGACAATGTCAGACAGTTTGCTGATAGTTTTTTTTCTCTTTCCTTTGTTCCTCTATTCTCCTTTTCCTGATGCAGGCAAGAATGTGTAGCTACAGAAGAGAACCCTCAAGTGTTTTTCTGCTGCTGTGAGGGGAACTATTGCAATGAGAAATTTACTCACTTACCTGAAGTAACTGGTCCAGAAGGTAAGTGATTCATTTTGTAGGAAGAAAAAAAAAATCCGTTCGATAATCCTTGACTTAGCTGTGCCACGACCTTGAATTGTTGGGTACTTGACAAGCAAGAAATCTGATTGAATATGAAGGATGCTTTGGGTTACAAAGTTTTGGAAGTTTGTCAGCTAAATGTTTTTGACATAGCATTTTTTTTAAAAAAAGATGCTGTTGTCATCTTTTGAGCAGAGAGCATTGTACAGAAACCTTGTATATCTCTTATTAAAGAATAATATCCTTTTTACAGTGCAGGCTTAGAGTGGATTGTTAAAAATTAAAACAAAAAACCCCCTCTTGTAAAAGGAAAACAATTGCAACTTTATACATATGTTCAGATGATCTGGCAGAAGTCTCTTGAGTTTTTTTCCTGGTAAAAAAAACAAACAAACAACAAAACAGCAAACTTACCCAGAGACCCCTGGATGAACATTCAAATACTGAGCTCCTGAAGAGCTGAGAGCTTGCAGAGCTGATGCTGCGCAGCCAGGGGGTCCCTATGCCCACGGATCAGCCCTGGTTGACTGACCCAGGTTGCTCAGGGTTGGCTTGTCTCTCCTAGAAACTCTCCTGGGAGTGATTTAACCCTGGTTATCCCTATGTTATTCTTCTCCCAGAGCAGCTATTTTTCTTTTGGGAGAAAAATCATGAATGTCTATACGCTCGTGTTTTCTACTGGAAAAGCAGCAACTCCGTTAGTGGAAAGTGAATGTCTGAAGTGGCTGAAGTCTTAACTCATGCAATGTAGGCTAAAAACCAGATCCTCAAGAAGTATTTAGCACTACACTGTTTTCAGTGGGAGCTAGGCATTCAAATAATGTAGAAGATCTAGTTAACTGTCCAACTTAACTAACTTCCAGTATATTTTAGTAGCTCAGGCGATTATATTGACAAATGTGATGTTTGTCATCCTTTGTGGCTTTGCTAAATGGGACAGGTAATAGCTGGAGTGATAGTTCTTCTAAATTCTATTTTCTTTTAAACAGCCCAGTAACATTTTAATAGCAGATATATCTCCTTCTGATGGGATGGCTTAAGGAAATCTACAACTGGTATCTTATATTTGCTATTGACTTATAAAAAATTCTTCACAAACCTATATAGAATTCTGTTTTTTCTGATCGTTATGAAGTTTTCCAGATCTTTTCCATGAGGCTTCTAATTGTCAGTGTGTATTATCTCTTGCTCAGTGTACACTGACGACAACCTCGGAATTGAAAAAAGTCTTTCCCTACTAACTTTTGTTGTTTAATTTGGCAAGCATTGTTGTTTTTTTGTTTCTCTTGCCCCCACTTCCCTGTTTCCAGCATAGCAACGTGGCTCTCTTCAGTGTTTCCCGTTGTTTGTGCATCAACTTAGCTGATCCCATTTGGAACATGGGAATGGTGTATTTTGATTTATGGCTTGTACAGTCCTTTAGTTTAGGCTGATATCTCGTTGCTGTTGCTGGATGCCTTTCTCTTGTCAGAAAAATGTGGGAGAGTCTGGCCATGTTATCTCCTTTTGAGGTTCACGGCAAGTAAGCTCAAACACTTGTAAGTCAATTCCCTACCACGCTCCTTGCAATCTTTTGATAAAGTCACATTCAGGCCTCGGTTGTTTGTATCCTCTGCATTTAGGAGAAGAAGTTCTCTATTTTTAGTGGGTGCTTTGGAGTATTCCCAGTCGGGAATTAATAAAAACTGGATGTCATAAGAACATGACATCCACAGCGGAAAGGTTGTTCAGTAAGAAATGGCAGGGAAGAACAAATTCCTCTGGAACTGCTGTCACTTATACCACTGAAAATATAAAAATCCCATTTCTCTGACCGCTTCTCCTTGTCTCTCACAGTAATATATGAGCCGCCGCCGCCAACTCCCTCCCTGCTCAACATCCTGGTTTACTCTCTGCTTCCAATTGCTGTCCTATCCATGGCCATCCTCTTGGCTTTCTGGATGTACCGTCACCGCAAGCCCCCATATGGGCATGTTGACATTAATGAGGTGAGTGAAAAGCTTCCTGCTTCTACAGAAAGGGGGAAGAATTGAGCTTTCATGGAAAACTTGACATCTCTGAGTTAACAAAGCTGTTAGAAATGTACAGAAACTATTTGGGCTAAGTCAGGGGTGCCCAACCTCCAGCCTGCAGGCCACTTGTGGCCCATGGAGCCATTGCATCTGGTCCATAGGGCTCCCTATGGGTAAGGAAATTTGGCAGCAGGGGAGCAGTGGCTTTCCAGACTGGGCTGGGTCTGGGCCATGCTCCCTTCCCCCTGTGCTGCTGAATCAGGGCAGCGCTGTCCCCTGGTCTCATCTGCATGGCCAGATGGGACCCCAGCATGCCTGGCCTGGGTGTCAGATCAGGGCTACTGGCCGGATCTGGCTTGTGGATGGACTGGGTGCTGCCCATCTGTCCCTCTGGACAAAAAGGTTGGGCACCACTGATTTAAGTATTTAAATTCTCTTCTTTAGCTTGATTATCCTTAGACAGCATGACTTGTTTGTCACACTCGTGTTGTGGTAGAGGAAAATGTCCATTGTAGGCCATGCTCTCAGAATCTAACATTTTTATGTGGGTGAAATGAGAGTGGTTCTTATATCTAGCTGTGCTGTGTTCTGTGTCTCACACAAATGCTTAAGGATAAACAGGTACTCAAGGATAAATAGGTACTCGTTTTGCACTAATGCATCATACCTGATTGGCTGACAAAACTGTTTTCTGCTATTTACCAGAACTGTGTGAAATACTCAGAATGAAGTGCAAAGCTGTTTGAAGTTGTAGGTAAAAAAATAATTTCTTTGTGATTTCTTGGTTTGTCTAATAAAAGGTATCACCTCTGAACCAAGAGTTCTGGAGTTTTACATTTCTTTTTGTCTCAGACCAACACAGCTACCAAATACAGCTCTGAAATTTTAGATATCATTTTTGGGGTGCTTTTTTCCCCCTTTTAACCGAAACAAACAAAAAAAAAAAAGACTCCCATCCTGGACTAGAGATATACTTAAGGACACAAATGTTTTGCAGCTGAAGATGACTTTTTCATGAGATTCAGGTGTTTGCCCAAATTTGACAAACACCGCAGTATAACATTTCATATAAAGCCATGCTTGAGAGTGGAAAATGCCACTGCACAGCAAACTGTTTCATGCAACAATTCTGCAAAACAGTTTGTGAATCTCACATTGTGCTGCCTTTGACTTGCTGCATGCTCTGAGCAGTGTATTGAAATGTCTCTCCTCAGATGGAAGTATCAGGGATTTCTTTCCCTTGTTTTGCTGTTGGTCTCAGTTTATAATACATAGTTTCATCCCTGTTTTGTTTTTCCAGGATCCTGGCCCACCGCCCCCTTCTCCGCTGGTTGGCCTTAAGCCTTTGCAATTATTGGAGATCAAAGCTAGGGGACGCTTTGGCTGTGTCTGGAAGGCGCAGCTCATGAATGACTATGTAGCAGTGAAAATCTTCCCCATACAGGTGAGAGAGGGCATTGCATTCGATTGCCAGAGAACAACGTCCATGGGCCTCTGTTCACCTTGTTTATCTCAGCAGCGGGTGCCTCTTGCAGTGTTTGGTGCCGGCTGGGCAAACGATAGCATTTTGAAATCGCCGGACACTTGGAACAAAGTTAGAGTGCCTGAGGACTGAGAAAATGCAGCAAGATGGGTGCCAGACCTAGGGGGAGGAGGCAGAAGTGACCTCATCAGCCTTGTACGAGCGTTACCTGGGTATATCGTCAATGTAAACCCAGACCTACAAAGTGACTGGCAGCTCACAAAGACACCATCCTTATAGAGTGGCGGCTAATCATACTCTTGAGATTGGTCTGGGGGGTGAAAGCAAAGCTTGGAACAGTCTTAACACTGTTAATATGGGAGCAATGAATGTAACAGAAAGATCCTGTTGAAGAGAAATGCCTGAAAACTCTTAGGGTTCCTCCCTTAGCACCTTCCTCATTCATCCTCCTCTTCCTTCGGTTTGTCAGCCTGGCCTTATGCAAGGGGAGAGCTGTGTCCTCTGTCCTGGCCTTGCTACCTTGTGTAATCTAGATTAGATTGTGTAATTTTAAAAACTGAACTGCAGTATAATGATGGATGGTATCTGTACAGGCTGAATTCTTATACTAATTTTGTGTCTTTACCTTCCTTCATTTCATTATGAGCTTAACAGTTTCCGGGGGCAGTTTGGGAAGGGGGCTGAGAACAAGCATTTCTTATGCTTCCCCGGCTTTGGAAGCTGCCTCATTTTAAAAGCATCCCTGGTCCCTTATACACACACCTGAGACTGACTTTCAGAGGAAGAGCACTCCATTGTAGCAGCTGCTGCTTTGAAAAGGCAAACATAATTTATGAGCAGTTGCTGATGGCATGTTTCTCTCCGCTGTAGGATAAGCAATCTTGGCAGAGCGAGAGAGAGATCTTCAGTACCCCCGGCATGAAACATGAAAACCTGTTGCAGTTCATTGCAGCCGAGAAGCGGGGGACAAACCTGGAGACAGAGCTCTGGCTGATCACAGCTTTCCATGACAAGGTAACACTTCTTGGCCTATCCATTTAAAGCTAAAGGGAGTGAGGCCTAATGGGGAGCTCTTAATGAACTGGCGTGGAAGTTTTCCATCTAAACAGCTTCATTTGAAATTTCAGATCCTTCCTTGTAGCTGTTCCAAAGTCTCTCCTCCTTTCCCCCCCAACTTGGTTTAAAGAAGAGCTGCAAGGTTCAGAAACAGAGATGGTTCCATAGGAGAGGACAAGAGGGAGAGAAGGCCACTACTCACTCCCATATACAGCACTAGCCTTGCACACTTGTGCAGGCCAACACAAGAGTGTACGTCATGGAGATGCCAATCACAGGCTGTCCCAGTTCTCACTCTGCTTTTGCAGATAGGTCATGAGCGTCAAGTAAATACAGAGCCTATCTCTGTTTCGTGGATTGCTTTAGTTATCAAATATGACGAACATTTGAAATAAAACAAACACACACAAATCCAGGGTTGAGCCAGCAATGTTATCCCTGTTTTTAATCCAAGGTCTACTGAGTCAATCATTTCCACAGCCATCTGATATGATAGATGGGCTTTTCTTACTTCAGGCTTCTCCCTTCTTCAGAGTATGTAGCTGCTTCAGTTTTTTCCTGGGGCTTGCTCAAGGTAGTGGAACTCATTTTTGAAGCCACAAAGTGTTTTTATTTCAGACCTTCGATCTCCATACTGTTGGGGAATCAGAACCTCCTCACTTTTTTTTTTTTTTTTTAAA